TATTGTCCAAATATGGGCAATGATGTAACATACTGTCCAAATATGGAGAATATTGTAACATACTGTCCAAATATGGACAATGATGTAACGTACTGTCCAAATATGGGCAATGGTGTATCATACTGCCCAAATATGGGCAATGATGTAACATACTATCCAAATATGGGCAATGGTGTAACATAATATCCAAATATGGGCAATGGTGTATAGTACTGTCAAAATATGGGCAATGATGTAACGTATTGTCCAAATATGGGCAATGATGTAACATACTGTCCAAATATGGGCAATGATGTAACGTACTGTCCAAATATAGGCAATGATGTATCGTACTGTCCAAATATGGGCAACGATGTATCGTACTGTCCAAATATGGGCAATGATGCAACATACTGTCCAAATATAGAGAATGATGTAACGTACTGTCCAAATATGGACAATGGTGTATTGTACTGTCCAAATATGGGCAATGATGTAACATACTGTCCAAATATGGGCAATGATGTAACCCAATGTCCAAACATGGGCAATGATGTACCGTACTGTTCAAATATGGACAATGGTATATCATACTGTCCTAATATGGGCAATTATGTAACATACTGTTCAAATATGGGCAATGATGTAACACAATGTCCAAATATGGGCAATGATGAATCGCACTGTCCAAATATGGACAATGATGTAACATACTATCAAAATATGGGCAATGAGGTAACGTACTGTCCAAATACGGGCAATGCTGTAACACACTTTCCAAATATGAGAAATGATTTAACATGCTGTCCAAATATGATCAATGATGTCACACAATGTCCCAATATGATCATTGATGTGAAACAATGTCCAAATATGAGCAATGATATAACACAATGTACAAATCAATACAGGTGGGGTGAAATGTTATCATTATTCCTACCTCGACAAAAATAACTTTTCTCTTTTTCTACCACAATAGTTATTTGGCTAGTTATAGTTATTTATGTTAAAACAAAATTGCAGTTCACATCACTTGAAGGTAAATCATATTAAGTTTTTTTCCCTAAAGTATGAAATATTTTTTTGGGAAATAACTGCCTCAAAAAGACAAACATGGAAGGACATATTTGGAACAATTTTTATAGTAAGTCATGTTAAAGCATAATTTCAGAAAAAATGAAAAGTAATCATCAGAATATTCTAATAATTTGTGATGACCATAAGTCTCCATCTTGTAACCATTGAAACCAAACAAAATTGAGATATGGTGAAAGCCGTTTCTATAGTAACTAATGACAAATGGCTCAAAATCAACATTTTCATGTATGTGTTATTTTTGAGCACGAAAAATAGTTCCGTGACGATATATTTTTATTTGGGTTTTGTTAAAAGCATAAAATAAAATGATAGTGTAACTGTCAAGGTAATTGAAACATTTGTTTTACCGGTAATGGTAAACCAACCACCTCAATAGGTGATGGTAACAAACCACCTCAATAGGTGATGGTAACGAACCACCTCAATAGGTGATGGTAACGAACCACGTCCATTAATACATTTGTAGATGTACATCGCAGAAATGCAACAGAGGTGGGAGCAAATACAAAATGTGGGTCACACTAATAATTATTAACACATCACCAAAAACCACAAAACAATTAAAAATGCTTATCATTCTGCCACATGGTATACTCATCGCCATAACAACGCTATGCACATGTCTAGCAATGTGCTAGAATGAGGAGGGACGTGGAGAGATCACATCACATGACAATAGACCAATCATGTCTCAATTAGTCAGTCAGTGAACTCTAAAACACCTTTCTAAGTTGTAATACATTTTTCTCACACGTTGATGCATAAAGATTGTTTATCAGGAACGCAAAACATCTGAACCAACCCTTAACACCAATCACTGTGCAACACAGGCATCTGTAACACCATATGGACAGGAAGAAGAAGAAGTCCCATATTATTTATTTAATGATTAATATTTTTCACTTACTAGTTTGTTTACTATAAAATTGGTCACTGACCGGACTAGTTCAGTAAGAACTATTTCTGATCCCCACCACAAATTCCTTCTTTTTATTAGTAATGTAACATTAAATTACTTTGTAATTGTTATTTGTTTGTGTTGAAATAAATTCAATTCATT